GGGGGGGGGGGAGGTCGACGTTTTTTTCCGAAAACAAAACGTCCCAAAAAATTTTCCAAACACTAGTTTGAGATAATAATGGCTTAACAATACTTTTTCAGACCTTTTTCGACCTCAACTTTTCAGAAAATTCCTTAATTAATATTTAATACGTTCCGCAATTCAAGCATTCTGGCGCCCCATCTGGGCAAGTTGGGCCCCTTTTTTGACAAACTGGGCGGGGGGGGGGGGGGGGGTGTTACACCCCCCAGTAGTTCCAGCCTTGGTTCCAAGGCTAGTAAATGGATCTTCAAATGATTCAAACAAATGTTTTCAACGTAGATTCATGTTACCTATTGGAACATATTCCTCTCGCCAAGACATCGTTCGTTACGTCGGAGACAAATTGAAGATACTTCTGCTCTTCAGTCCTGACAAATAAATAAAACACAATCACGCACGCATTCATTATGAACAAGTTCTTCCTGATATTTCTTGATAGTTCATCCCCACCTAGTGATGTCTACCAAGTACCCACCCCCTAAAGAAGTCCAGCACCACCCTAAAAAAATGCTTTTCGGCGATACATTTTTCGAATAGCGATTAGCGGAACTTCTACTGTTAGCGCGTGTCGATTTCTTGAAACGATTTACTAATTGTTTGTGAGCTCACGAGAAAATACTCAGAATGCTTTGGCTAAATATCATGGTTAAATATGTAAACATGTCGAGGTTGTTATACAGCCATATTTTTAAAGATACTGTACTTTGACAAGCAAATTTACTGTACTGTGCTACAGCAACTGTCTAGTCACGCATACGTGATAAAAAGCCGATATAAACTTCATAACAAAAGATAATGTAAAACATAACAGAACGGCAAACATGCAGATTCGACCAGTCAAATAATGGAAATGTTGGAATAGTAGCGTTGCAGACTGCAGAGGAGAGTGGGCAGTAGGGCTCCCTCATGCACCACTCCATGGAAAACCGGCACCCGGTCCCCTCCTTGCAGATGAGGCTAGATCCAGCCCTACTTATCCATATTTATTCGTCCCCAGTGTAGATCAAGTCATTCCTTACCAAATCATTTCCTCAGGATTTTTCTTTCTCGGTTTCCTTCGAGTTGGCGAAGATTTATAGCTAAACGACACTGTAGACAAACTTAAATTGGGATTCGCTTCAAATTTATCTTCCATCTCAAACCTCGGAGTACTCGCGTATAACCTGTCTGTGGTCCGATATTCTCCCAAACCATTCTCTAATGTTCTATTTCCTAAATCACTCCATTCCTCGCGTTGGGAACTTGTGTGTAAATTAGACGTGTCATTAGATTCAAAAGTTTTGGTGTTTTCATTAATTTGGGACCCAGAGAAATTTCCCGTGTTCGGTTTCTGATCCCTTCTGCGGTTATTCCTGTGATAGCGTTCATGATTATTATATTCATCAATGTGATTATTATGTCTAACAGAACCATCATTTAAATCAAAATTATTCGTGTCCGAAATTTTCCCATTTTCATTATTTCGCATTCCGGACGAATTTTCAAGGTTTATTGTAGGATCTGTCCTGCGCCTCTCAAAACGTTCATAATTATAGTGATCATTTTGCATATTATGTCTAAGAGAATCATTATTTTCCCGTAAATCATCATCATTATTATAAGATGTTCGGTTAGTTAGCATGGCCGGTTCTTTCAGTCTTTGGTTATAATGTGTTTGTCTCGAATCTCCATTTTCTCGGAAAGTTTGAGAGGGTAGTCTATGGCTCCTGGATTTCCTGGAACTGGGTCTTTGACTCTGTCGAGGAGGTGAGTTTACCGTGTCGTTGGTGGAAATGTGATTGAATGTGGTGGGATTGTCGTTTATGTCCCGATCTCTGGGAGAGTTTGACGCCTGAAAGTTTGTGTTGAGATTAATGTTATATAGAATTACAATACACAGGGTACAACCGTTAAAAATCTCACAACTTGTCACTGAAGATGTGTTCGCAACAGGCTTGTAGCAAGCTTGTCAACAAGTTGTAACAATGCTGTTATTTTATCAAGTTGCTACAAGGTTGTCACTCACAACTTGTAAACTTGTTGACAAATTGTTGTTGGAACAACTTGTGACAAGTCTGTTGAGCTCAACAACCTTGTAGCATTAAGTTGTCAACAAGCTGGGAACAAGCAGTGCGAACACATCCTGTTGACAAGTTGTTGGAACAGCATTGCTACAAGTCTGCTGCAAGTTTGTTACAACTTGTGCGTTTTTACGCGTGTATACTCTGTCGTGTACAACAGACCCTCCTGACCTCAGTGTGATAATTTGATTGTCTTGATGAAGATCGCGAGGACGTTCTCTGTGTGTTTGATGCAAGTAATGCTTCTTTTCTTTTTCTGTCCTTTTCTAAAATGGAATGAATGTCACATATGATTGAGTTTATTAGGTTTCTCACTCATTGGTCACGGAATCCCAACAGGCTATTGCTCAAATGATAGAGGATCCGAGGCACAGAATAAGGCACACAGAAGGGCACCCTGGCCGCCATCTTCCTGGCCAGTCGATTTAGTTTTCTGGCCAATAAACGCGCTGTATTGGCTGAAGGCCCCGCCTTCTGGCCAGTCAACTGCACATTTTTGCATAGAAAAATGGTGACACGTTGCAACGCTGAGTGGCCCTTCTGGTACTGATCTTTATTCTGTGTCCGAGGTATCTACGATTTAACGTCCTTATCCGAGAAGACGCGAGAAGATTACCTTTTATCGTGAGTTTCATAGACTTTGGAGCAGAAGTATCCACACATGCTATTAAAAACAGAAATATTTACACAGTCACATTTTTTTCTTCCCTATTTTTCAGACTAGATGCAAGCGTTTAAATGTTCCAAAATATACAAATGATATATTACCTTTTGCAGAAGAAATACGTTGGTAATGTGATTTCATATGATTGTACACTAAGTCTTGAGACATTCTTGACATTGAAACTGGGGAATACACTGCGGGAAAAAATTTAATTTGCTCACAGTTTAGATGCAGTAATTTCTTACTTTTAAGCTATTCTTGATTCTGTCTTCTACAGTGCTAAGATCCTTGCAGTAATAATCCCAATTCCCAACATTGAGCCTAATGCCAATGCTAAAGCTAATTAACCCTAATGCAGAGTTAAACTCTAATCTCAACCCTAACCCAGAGATTGTAGAGTTCAGGACAGAGCTGCTCCCAACAATTTTTCAGGGAAAAGTTTTAGCGTTGCTGGGAGAGTTTCATATAAACAATTTCTAGACTCTAAGTTTCACTGTTTTTAATACCTATATATGGACATGTTTTGTGCCCTTGATATACCCTTGAAAATGGTTTTGAGGTGCAGGGGCAAAGTGGGGGTATGGGGTGTGCCCCCCCCAAAAAAAAATACAAATCATCCTGATGGGCAGGGCAATCAAACTGCCAATAAAATTAGATAAAAGTAGATAAATAAATTATGAGTACAATTTTAAATGATAGAATGTAGAGTTATTAAGTAACTTATTATAGCTAACAAACACTAAGCAGTTTGTATGCATGTACATTGGCATCGGCAGTTCAATTATACACATAGTTAATTAGCGATGTATTGTATTAGCGTTGGCGCTTCAGGCTGCAAGGGATCATTGGTTTTGGCAGGGCAATTCTGCCAGATACCCCCCTAATTAAAAGGGGCTAGTCTTGCCCCTGCACCTCTCCCCTAAGACCCCCCCCCCCCAACTCTGTACCTTAATTAATATGTAATTCCTAATCTTAATACAACCCTAACCTCAGTCCTAACCTCTAACAATACACCCTTTCCGGAAAACGTACCACTTTAGCTTAAGAGCCTTGTTTTCTTGTATGTTACATTTATAGTTAACCTATTGAGTGGCAGCACTCTCTTCTTGACAAGTAAAATTATCTGGTGTTAGACAGAGTAAAATACTAATTAGTAGGGAGCATGAGGGTGCATTGCCACTTAAAGGATTACAGCTTAACATGAAAACGAAGCTCTGCAGCCAAGGTGACATATTTTCCCAAAGCGTGCACTACATTTTTGTAAAACTGGGCATCAAGATTATTCAAGGCGTTACAAGCTAATTAATGCCCTAATAGTATGGCAGCCTCATTGTACTGAAATATAATCTTAGGTAGTGCCCAGGATGCATTTAAACTGCAATACTTCGGTGTGAGTTTGGTAAATTACAATACTACCTATAGTTAATATTGGCGTATCTTCGGCATAGAGTTTCCATGGAATGCGCCCTGGGGGTATATAGTACTAATAATATATCTTCAGATTGAAGGGACACAAGGAGAAATATACAAGGAGACATTATTTCATACTGGATAGCTTTAACTTACCAGAACTTTTTGTGGAAAGATGACCGATTGGCAAAACATTCGGCGTTTTAGTCGCTTTTGATTGAGAGAGCCCTTGAAAATGTTTCCAAACAAAACATATATTGACGTTCTTTGTATATAAAGTTTAAATAAACCTGGCTTGATAGGTCTCTATATTTATGTTATAAACTATGTATTGAAAGTGATGTCGTACCTGCTATACGTCTGGTCATTTTAGTAAATATTTACTTAGCAATTTAATAAAATTAAAACCACTTTCTTTGACTGACAATGCAGCCATATTGTTTATAAAACAAGCGTCCTTCCGTAACCTAGGCAACGCAGGGAACTTTAAGAATTATATGGAAAGAAATAATTTTATTGAAAAAGACATTATACTCAATGAAAATAAAGAGAAAAGTTCTCAAAAATTGTATAAATATAAAGGAAAAATATTTTTAAATTTATATATTTTGAAATACATTTATAATATTTTATGTGCCAAAAACTGTAGAGAGCCACCTTAAAATAGTTTTCGGAAAATGGTAGCCTGAAATATCAGGCGCAAGTCGCCTGACTTTTCAGGTTGCAGAACCGATGTTACTTGGTATAAGATTGAGTATAATGTCTTTTCAAGAACCAAAATGGCGGGCAGTCTTAGCAGTGAAATAAAAAAATTTGCTTTGAATATCCTTGAAAATGGACAGATAGTAACTTGTATGGATCAGCTACGCATAGATAAACTTCGTAGTGGGTAAGTGTTGAAGAATTAGAAACTTTTAATCCACAAGAAAGGGTAAAAATATATTAGTTTGCGTGTATGAATATCACTATGTAGTAATTATGCATGCTTGTGATGTTACTCTGAGTGTATATCCACACCGGGAAAGCTTGAAAAATTTGCCTGGCCATGATGACATCGTGGCCAGGCATATTTTTAGGGTGTGGATATACAGTCAGAGTAACATCACAAGCATCATATTCACTTGAGAACATTACACTAACACAGAAGCAATTATGCAGTTATCATAGAGTGATCAAAGTTGAAACGAACATAAATATATCTTATGTATTGTATATATACTGTAGTTCATGAAAAAGTAAGATATATAGTATTAAGGAAGTAGTTTATAGATAAAACAGTATCTAGTGTGGGAACGAAACGTAAAGGAAACGAAACGGGAAGGGGACAAATTACGACCTGGGATGAAACAGCAAGGGGATGAAATGACCAGTTACCGTAGACATCAATCATGACATTACCTGAGCCCTGACTGAAATGTTTACGATCGAATTCCACACCTGAGATTTCAAAAATTAAATAGTTAATTTGATTCTATCATTCTATCAACTGATGCAAATTGTGAATTGTGTAATTATTATTTTCTCATTGCAGTTCTAATGTTACAAAAGAAAATAATTGTGATCGATTTAGACTTCTGATTCCTTATGGTGGCACTACGTTGAAATGTAAGAAAATAAAGCAGAGTGCTTGTTTCATTAGATGCAAACTAAATTAAAAACTGAGCTACTGTAATAACTTCAATTTACGAACCATGATACAGTTGTTAACGCCTATTAAAGTGTGTTCGTGCAGCATGCAATCACAAAAGGGATTTGACTGTAAGCTGACCTAAAAAAATATACCTGTGGTTCTCAGGTTTCATATCGCGAAAAAATTAGGGTCAGTAGGTCGGAAATAATTTTTTTTTTAAATATTTTTTTCATGGTTTTTTCAATAATTAGTGCGACAACAGACGCCATTTTGGCAGCAGCCCGCAACCACCTGGAGAAAATAGGGTCGCATGGTCAATTGTGTTGAAAAAATAATAGGGTCGGCAGAAAAAAATAGGGTTGGTCGGGAACCAGAACCACAGGTATTTTTTTAGGCCTAAACATTCATGAACAGTTCTGCAAATTAAACAATTAGATTGTTTACACCTTAAAATAATTAGTTAAACACATCTGATTGGCTAATAAATTTAGGAAGACAGTTAAGTGTGTGCAGTATCAAGTTCAATTTGTAGAATTGTTGAGCAAAAATAACTGTTTGTCATATTGGTTAACATTGAAAACTGCTTGCAAATTGAGCCCATAAAGTTTGCAAAACATATAGCATTATCATTGACAGAAGTTCAAAACTAATTGTAAACAAACATACAGTACTTCTCATCTCACATTAAAGTTTAAGACATAATCGTTAACTACACTTACAACTTTGCATCTAATTGTAACAATAATGTTTTAAGATCACATGCACACACTTATAGGCATTAACAACTGTAACCACTGTTCATGGGACTAGAAGTATTTAAGAGTTCAACTTAACTGTCATGATATTTCTGTTTTTCTAGGGGAAATTGTATTTAATTCTGATGAGCCACATTTTCCACCTGATGTTGTATTTGGTGACTGTGAACCAGATTTTGAACCAAATTTGGAGGAAATACCAGTATGTACTTCCATAATCCAGTGTTTACATGTGACCTTTGAGGCGGGCTGGCTCACCAAAATAAACCACTGGGCTCACTGCTATAAATAGTCCTAGTGTTGTTGTTGTTATTGTTGTTTTTGTTTTTAATAGCATATAATAACTTTCTAATTACTGCCTAATATATATGTCATACAATATAAAAATATTTTAATTTACAAATAGTACAATATATCTTTTGTGAGCAACTTTCTTGGTTACTGTATAACTTACAGAATCATTCACAGAGACCTTTTGAAATCAAAATTTGTTGAGAAACTCTTATAAATCAGATTTCTAATCGACAACAATATACAGTATTTGTGTGAACATACTGTAGCAATATACTGTAACACTCAGCCTGCTTATGTGAGCCAACCCAAGTAATTGCATTTATATGGAAAATTCCCTGCCCAGATTTACAAGATCTCGGGTCAGTAAAATTTGAGCCGGGACCTCACATAGGCAGGACCAGCTTGGTTCCCATATAAATGCAAAATGAATTTTAGTAGGAAATACTAACAAAGGCAAGATCTTGTCTAAATCGTGCCAGCTCGGTTAACCATGCAGGCTGGCTCGCCCCATATAAACAGCCCCTTATTGAAACTGATGTATATTAAAATACTTTCAGTCTTTGCAATACTGGAACCCAGAAGATCCCAACAGCTTAACAGCGATAGTGAATGAACTCCTAGAGCAGTACAAACAGTATCAATATGACTTGATCAAGACATGTTCTGCAAAAGTTGCATTCGAATTTGAGTCTGTTCGACAATTGGATACTTTGGCGAATATGGAAGTGTATGTACATCGAGGTACACAGGTAAATAATTGAACATAATGGCCATGATCTTCAACAATCTGTGGCAGTGTAGGTTGTGGCAATAATAAGAAAGATTTGGATAGATATAGAGATGCAACTAAATGAAAAATACAAGGAGAACTTCAACGTTTTGAGCGAAGGTCGTTTGTTGGAAATTCTGTGTATCTCTCTCTAATTTCCCGATGAAGGACCTTTGCTCAAAACATTGAAGTTCTCCTTGTATTTTCAGATTGTTGTATTCCTATTCAGGGTGTTAGCCAGAAAAAAAATTTTGTCTGTTAAACGTAAATTGGGAAAGTTTTTTTGACCGATCAAAGTCCTTGTGTAGGAATAAATAGTGTTTTTTTCCAACGTGTTTCTTATTAGATGCAAACAACGGTAGCTTGGTTTTGTACATTCCATTTCCGATGAATGAACACTGAAAAATGCACCCCATGGCACTTGTTAACGATTTATGTTTAACTTTATTTCACACCGATTACACTTTGTTCTGTACATTTCATTTCAGTGAATACACACCCAATATGAATGAAACGCGATATATTTTGAGAAAATAGTTAATGGGAAAAAGTAAATAAGTTCTTTGATATAATAATATAAAATCAAACGCAATGCACTTTCTCATCAGAAAAAATGAAAATCTTCCAGTAGACACAGTTGGGAAAGCCCCTTAGCTACTTCAATTGGGAAGAGTCCGTCAAACGGACAGTATATGGGCTAGCTAACACCCTGACTATTATTCAGAACTTTTTTATAAATGGCAATAATTCTTCATTATTATTTTTTACTGTGGCTATTTAAATTATTTAGAATCTTATGAGCAATGCTTGATATAAATATGCTAGAATGAAGTTACAATAACTTTAATTAATGCAGTTTTATGAGCATTGAAATAGGGTTAGATGTTGCATTAGATTAGGCTTTGGATTAGATTAAAGTTAAGATTAGATTAGAGTTAGGATGTGAATTAATTAGGAGTAGATTAGGCTTTGGATTAGATTAAAATTACGATTTGATTAAAATTAGATTATGGATAAGATTAGATTAAAGTTAAGATTAGATTAGATTAGAGTTGGGATATGAATTAATTAGGAGTAGATTAGGCTTTGGATTAGATTAGATTTAATTATCTATAATAATTTTCTATCCTCGCAGAATTCATATCAGCAAGCCAACTTTTTAATCAAATTACCGATTGATCTCGCCAGATTACCTCCATATCTAATTAATGTAAGTTGAAAACCTTTTGTGCTCTCGTTAACGTACTGCTAACTTCACACGTTAAAATGTTTTGATTGTCCAACATTTTAAAAAGCCCCCCACCCCCCGAAGGTATTTCAATTTTTTGTGCAGGATTGTCTGATCTTGCACGGGTATTGACCAATCAAATTACGTATTTCGTTGTAGTTATTATACATACACACATAAAAACGCACAAGTTGTAACAAGTCTGCAAACAAGTTGTTACAAGTCTCTTCACAAGCTGTCAACATGTTGTGTTCGCACTGCTTGTTCCCAGTTGTTGTAACAAGTTTGGTACAAGCTGTTAACAACTTGTAACAAGCTTGATGGCATTATCAGCCTTGTTACAAGACTGTGCTAACAAGTTTGTTACAGCCATGATACAATAAGGATGTTACAAGTTTGTCAACACAAGGTTGTAACAATTTTGTTATATCAAGCATGTAACGGACTTGTCAGAACAACAAGATTGTTACAAGTTGTCAACAACTCGACAAGTTGTTCTAAATCTGTTGACAACTTGTAGCAAACATTGCGAGCACATTTTGTTGACGGATTGATGGCAGACTTGTTACAAGATGTGAGATTTTTACATTGTGTAAGCAGTGTGTCGCCAGACATTCGTAATATAATGATGATGATAAAAGGTTCTATATTTTGTAGCAAAATCCTGGCGAAGACTTTATTATGCTCTATGTCTCTTACGAGGGATATAATGGCTCTACAGTTACTCCAAAAGTACTCCTTTCACCAAGAGTCGAGAAGTAAGACTCTAAACTCTTTATAATCCATTCTGTGTGCATGAATACGTGTATGCTTTCTCCATTAAGTTGCGCTGCACCCATACTTTATTATTTTGCACACGTAAAAATCTCACAACTTGTCAACAAGATGTGTTCGCAACAGGTTTGTAGCAAGCTTGTCAACAAGGTGTAACAATGCTGTTATTTTATCAAGTTGCTACAAGGTTGTCACTCACAACATGTTGACAAATTGTTGAATTGCAGGACGATAACAAGTTGTTGGAACAACTTGTAACAAGTCTGTTGAGTTCAACAACCTTGTAGCAAGTTGTCAACAAGCAGTGCGAACACATCCTGTTGACAAGTTGTTGGAACAGCATTGCTGCAAGTCTGCTGCAGGTTTGTTACAACTTGTGCGTTTTTACGTGTTTAATACCACTAATTTACTTGTTTAATACCACTAATTTACTTGTTTAATACCACTAATTTACTTGTTTAATACCACTAATTTACTTGTTTAATACCACTAATTTACTTGTTTAATACCACTAATTTACTTGTTTAATAC